TAATATATATATATACTTGTATATAATATATATATACATAATAGATTAATGCCTTGTAAACTTATATCATTGTATTTTTATTTAATTGTTTTTATTCTGTGATACATAAAAATATCGTGTTTGATATTACAATAATATCGGTAATTCGACGTAGTAACCAAAGAAGTTAACTGCAGAGAGATAAATGTATTCTGATGTCTGATGCGTTGTGTATGGATTTTAGGAAGCGGAATCAGTCGATACGAAGCGTTAGCTTCATCGAAGTTGTTTTTCCGCTTGGACTGCATCGGCACATATTTTATGCATCCGTATGGCTGTACCTTGCGATTCGGTTATATCCTGATAGTTTTACATACACTGTACATAATAGAGTATTTGTTTTACATTGATAAAGCACTCCGCGAAAATTGGCGGATGATTCGCAAGACAAATTTTTCTTAACTTACCTTGTAGAAAAATATAAGATTTGCTAGAATATATATATTTAATTTATGTGATACATACGTGAAACTGATTAATTATTGTTGTAATTCTTTTACTGATTATACCGATTTTGTTTAAAATTATCATTTAAGTGTCGCCATAAAAATTTTATTTTCTAAATTCTGCGCGATATATAACTTGGACGTTTAGATGCTCTTCGAGTAAACTGTCGTTTGGACTTTTTAATGATTCAGGAAGAAAATAGCTTTACGATAACTTCACAGAAAGGAGGTCAGAGAGGTCAGATTGAGAGAGGAACAAGCGATTATTTGTCATCCGTGACAGGGATACTTCATCAACAGCATTTATAAATAATCGCGATCAATATCAAAAAGGTTTCGTAGCATACCGGAAGGCTTTATTTATTCATGTCTGTCTGCGAGTAGAACGATACTGCTGCCATGTATAAAGTATACGTTTCATCGACTTATACGGTACAAAGTATGAGAATAGAGAACAGAGGAAGATGTGCTGTACTTTGGCACGATTTTTCTCTTCTCTCCGCTTGATTCCAAATTGTTAGACCGAATAGGTGATGGATGCTCGCGTGTAGTCAGCCCATGTGTTCTTTTCAGCTCGAAGTCGAAGGTTTGATGAATGAAGGTCGAATTGAAAAGTCTTGGCGGAACGTCTGAAGCGTAGCGACGAAATTTGCATGCCGCGATCGTACAAGTCTTCTTTTGTGTTCTATTCTATTGGTACACATTTGGTTAACTAATGCATTTCGCCGAGGCTTTCGAATTTTCTTGTTATGTCAGTATTCTCGAATCTACGATGTTATCGCAGGGAAATTAATGTTTAATTTAAAGACTCGTTGTAAAATAAACTCAACCACGAACATCGCTATTTTATTTATATCTCCGTGAAATGAAATATTACATAAAATCTTTTCCCATTCGTAGGGATGCTCGCGTGATTTCTTATATTTCGTAAATATACCGAATACTCAAATAGCTCCATAGATCTTTTCACTGTCCCTACTCATCGAGTTTGTACTGCCATAATAACTTTCCTTATTTACCGTAATGCGGCAGAAAGTCATCTCTGACATTTCCTGGAAAAGTACCGTGTACCTAAAATACGTAGATTGGAGGCGCCGGATCTCGGCTGCATGTCGAGGAAGAGGAGAAGTGGCTTCGAGAGGTATGAAAGAACTTTTATCGGGGTGGAAACTTCGTCTTCCTTCCGAGCGGTGTGAAGCCATAGGAACGAACGAGAATTATTTAGTACAAGACGCAGGGTAAACAACAGTTGTACTACCAACATTTGTTCCGACTTTTATTCTTTTTCGAGCAACTTCTGAAGCGACCCTCTGACGATTCTCCTCTTCTACGTTTGGTAGAATGAAGATGTTATCGGAAAATATGCATTATTCGCAATCAGCTTACACTTCGCGTTGTGTTGCGTGCCGATTGTAGGAATTGAAGTTAACAAGCAATAGCGAGATTGGCATTTAGAGCGTAAATCCCTTCAGCTCTGAATCCTTTACAGCATATTAAGCTCGACTGATTATTTTGTTATGCTTTTTTTCGCATCGTGGAATTATCCTTTTCACTTTGCTGTACCGTCTTGGGTGAACAATAATCAGATCGACGTTACGGAGGATTTGAAGCAAAGCGAGGGTTGAAATTTACATCCTGTGCTTGCTTGAGCGATCGCTCTACCATATGTTTGTATTCTCGTAACGCCCTTCCTCCTCCCCGGACATTGGTCCTTGAGGTAATTCCGACAGAATCGCTCGCTACATCCGCTTTCCTCGATCAAGTTGTGATGTACTGTATTACGCCGTAACCTTGTGCGATTTACAGAACAAACCAGCGTAATGTTGCTTGTTGAATTTGTTGGTTTTATACAAGATTTAATGTCTCCAACATAGAATTCTAATTTTTCAAATTAGTACAATACAATCTACAACTTATCTTTTCGAAGAAATGTTGGATGTAAGAAATTAAATTTTTTTAATTGCTCAGTACATACACATTCGGTGAACTTTGTACATCTTTTTGAGAAAAATCTTGCTTGAATAATCGATCGTATACCATTAAGTATTTGTCATGTTTATATTTTTATTCAATTTCTATTTACAGCTTTTATTTACACTTTGTGTAATATAAATTTAAAAATAAATATTTTATGCACCAATTAGAATTTTTTTATTGACTTCTTATGAATAAATACAAACGTTTGCATTCGAGTTATTCAAGTATCGAGTGGAACGTTCAGAGGGTGCTTCAACCCGACATTTAGCGGTGTTTCAGTATCGAGGAGACGATCGCGTTAATGTCTCTTTTTTGTCGTTTTCCTCGGTGTCGGTGATACGATAGCCTCTTCCCTAACGACGTATAACCATTAATATGCAAAAGCGGTACTCGACGAGTTCATTCATTTCATCACGCCTTTCCCTGTCCCTCGTTCTCCCTTTCCCTTTCTTTATTGGCGGTAGATATTTTATCTTCGCTATTCTTGTCCGGGTATACCTTGGGAGATATTCATGTGAAATATATCCGATGGCTTTTCTCTTTCTTCCGTCCTTTAAACCCTGTGGGTTGTGGGGAGAATCAGCAGTTAAAAAGAAAGAAAGATAATCAAGAGGATGAATGTTACTCTCGACAGTATCTGAAGCTGCGTTATAGGTA